GGAGGACAGGACCTAGCCTGCAACACAGCAAGAGGCAAAAGAGATGTCCCATAGCAAAGTCCTGGGTGCCAGTGGGTTTCAAAGCCGGGGGGGGGTGGGAATAGAGCTGGGGGGGTCTCTTCACTACTTTGTTGGTTGCCTGCACCCTGCCAGGAGGAGAAGAGTGAATTCACCAAGTGAATGTGGCTGCAATCAGCCATCTACCCCCTAATTAAGCTGCTTGTCCCCAGGAAGGGCAAGCCCTGTCCCTGGAGGAGGGGGGGTCTGGCTCAGAGGTTTGCCAGCCATTTTCTGCAGGGGTTCAAGGACTCAGCAGCACTTGGGCAGCGCTTTTCTCCGCCACGGAGAACCGGGGTGCCCAAGTGAGAGAAAGCACAGCAAGAACTGGCGAGGCAACGGGAGCCTAAAGGCAAACAGGAAAACCCACCTCAGATGCAGTAATTGCACACAGCTCAGCCTGAGGCAAGGATTAAACTTGCAAACACTGTTTAAGCCTTTCCTTCCCCACTGCCTCCCCCCTCAGGTGTTTATTAAAATAATAGTAATATTAATAATATTAATAACATGGTTCTTCCTTTGCTAGATAGCACTCACACGTCCTTCTCAGTGGCAGAGAGCATCTGCCATGCAACTGAGATGGGGCTGGGGGCAAATACGCAGCCCAGCACTAGAGGCCAGCTGGAGCAGGCTTGCCACAGTGATGTCCGCAGCAGCGATGCCCCCAGACCCCTTGGGGGCTGCTGGTACCCGGGGTCCCTTCCCGGCATCAGACAGGCTCCAAGGCCCTTGGAAAACCATCCCGAGTGAGCCTGATGGCCCCTGGGTTTCGACAGCACTCGGCTGGCACGTGGCTTGGAAGCCGTCAGGGACCTCTCACCGTGCCAGGAATGCAAAACCATTAACAGTGTCACTTTTATATGTGTGCGTGCACACAAAATGTTCATAATGTATAATAGAATTATTGCAAATAATTGTAATATTTATACGTGCCTAGGTGATGATAAATGCATTATATATAAAAAGTATCTGTATAATATATATGAATAAATAGCATATATGATTATACTAGACTGTATAGTGGAATCATATTTTTTATACAATTGCAATACTTAGGGTCACTGAGTTTGTGTGTGTCTGTATGTGCAAGTGTGTGCAACGCAATACCTGTATAAACACGCACACAACACTATGAAAGAGGAAGTACCTTCACTACCCTTGATGTTGGGCTTTGCCACAGACAAACCAGGCTTAGCAGCTGACAGCAAGCCGACCCCTCCCTCCGAGTCCTGCAAACAGCGCTGTTTTTTTCTCTTCAGCAGAACAAAAACGGTATTTTGCCGGTGCTGCGTGTATTTCATGCTACCTAACCACCGGCCTCATCCCTGGTGGCCCATTTAAAGGTGCTGAGTTTCTTCTGCCAGCGAAACAAAATTGAGCTCCAGTGATACGGAGGTTTCCTTGCAGAGCGTGCTGTGCACCGCAGATTGGGTTGTTTACCAGCTGGAGGATTAAATAGACTTCCAGTGAAGGGGAAAAATATGTAAGTGGTTTCAAGTATGTCTTGGAAGCGGCGTCTCGCTTGAAGGAGGCTTTTCAGACTTGCTTGTGTTTGCTGGCTGGCACTTCACCTGCCCCTGGTGAGGCTGCTGCATCTCTAACAAAGAAGCGCTTCTGGAAAAACACTGTTTTCGGAAGGAGGCAGCAAGCATACACACTCCGTGTGTATGTGTAAATCCTTCTTTGACCACCCCCGAAAAGGAACCCCTGTTCCCATCTCGCCCTAAGGCAGGTGACGTCCCTGTCTCCTTTGCTTTTTACTTGCAGAAAAGGAAGAGCAAAGAGCAGCATTTTAGCTCAAGGAGATTTCACAGGGGTCAGTTTTGTTTTGTTTTTTTTGTAATTTACTTTCCTCTTCCAATTTGTCCCTGAAGCAACAGGGCAAAAAAAAAAAAAAAAAAAAAAAACCCAAAACCCAAAAAACAAAAATCCTCCCAAACTCCAAGTCCCTTTCTCACCACCACCCCCATCCCAAAACACAGGCATGAACCTGGCTTTTAGGTTACTAGGGGGCAACTAGTGGCTGCTCTCAGGAGTCAAGTCTGGTCAGTCTGAACCGTGCTGCTGATAGAGCAGCCTGGGCCAGAGGTTCAGCAACAGGCCTTGGTGTGAAGGGGAAACTCTTCCTTTTACATCTTTTTTTACTGCTTCCTGATGTTGTGGCCTGGATCAGCTGCTGACGGCTGCACACCAGCTTGGAGGATCCAGCCCAGAGTACCACTTTTTCTTTTGCTTATCTTTAATTGGTGCTTTATCCAAAAGCAGGCAAGTTTTGTTTTTCTGCTGGCAATCCACATTTGCCTATTTCCTCCCAACAGAGATTAAAATAAGGTAAAATTTAGACTGGGATCCCATAGTGTTTGATGGTTTATTCATTCCAGGGCAAGTGCTGAGCCCAACATGAGCTGATCAGGATGGAAGACCAGGGGGAGGAGCTCTCCTCTTCCACCGCTTCCTTTTCCAGCAGGCTGCTTATTTGGGAGCCTTGAGGATCCAAAAAAAAAAAAAAACCTGATGGAAAAACCCACAGAACAAGCAAAAAAAGTCACTGTCAGCTCAGCTACTAGTTATGGTGATGGTAGTGGCTAGGTGGTGTTATCGGGGAACCAGGTAAGCTTATGAGGAAGGGCATTTCTGGCTCCCCTTCCCCAGCTGGTTTTAGCTCTTTGGCTGCCTTACCCCAGGCAGGGGATGGTAACTGGGAGGAGCAGCAAGAAGGGACTGTGCTCTGCGCACAGTGCTGCCGAGGGACCCAGCGCCAAAGGGAGCAAACAGTGCTGCCCACATATCGTTCCCTGCTCCCTGCAAAGGCCAGGGCTGGTTTTCTCGGAGGACCAGGTTCAGAGGGTTATAGGAGCCCTGATCAAAGACTTCCTCCTCCATGGTTACATATGACCTTTGTTAGCAAAGGCCCTTTCTCATAGGAACAGGGTAAGAGAAAAGGAAGGAAAAAGAATAAACAGGTTAACCAGCCAAATAACTAGCCTTTCGTTGCCCTTAAAAAAAAAAAAGAAAGAAAATTCCCCTTTTATTGAAACCATTTCCTCCAGTTATATCATTTCTCTGGAGGCTGGAAGCAATTTTCAGCCTTAAGTGTGTTGTGTCCACTAAATGCAGAGAAACGAGGCTGATGCCTGGCTTCCCCCCGAGCGGGATCCTGCAGAACAGCATGGCTCGCAGTGCCATTTTTAATCGAGACACATTGGCTTGGGCCATGGCACTGTGGCAGGGAGCCCCAATGCCTCCTGCAAGTAGAAAACCCCAAGTATGGCCAAGGTGCAGCACTGCTCAGGCTGGCCTGGCTGGGTCCCTTAAGTAGGACACAGCTGGCACCCATTACGTGTTCCAGTTCGTGTCCTCTGTCAAGGGATACAACCAGAACAAGCAGAGCTCTGCCCAGAGATCTCTCAGTGAAGAGACATGCCAGTGCCAGGGATTTGTTGCAGTCCTGTGGCAGAGGAGCAGCCCTGTGCTGGGCCCCGGGAACTGATGCTGGAGGAGGGTGATTGAGTTCCCTTGTGGTCAGCACCATCCACAGGCTCCAGCCCTTGACTTTTGGGGAATTGGAGGGAGCAGGAGCACAGATATGCTATTAAAACAGGGAGTTTCACATGCCTGGGAGCCTGTGGAGGACTTGATGTCTTCAGCAATTGGTTCTGGCCATACCCTAGGACCAGGCTTGTCTGAGTCAAGGCACCACCATGCCAACAGCAAAAGCTCCAAGGCCAGGAGAGGACCGCTCAAAGGCAACGGGGACATGCAGCGAGGTAGGCAGGAGAAAAGCTGGTGTTGGGGCAGGAACAGTTATTGGCGAGGACCACTCAAGGAGGTGTCAAATCTGAACTAATAAAAGATTTACAAAACAAAAGGCTTAAGCTCAAGTTACTAAAACACATTTGTACCTTCTAATGTATCCCCCCCCCAGTCTGCAACTGGCAATCGGACTCTTTGCTTTGCTCTCAGTGCAAGCCCCCTCGGCCGCTGCTGCTGCGATTATCACACGTGGGTGCTCGTGGCTGACGGCAGCGCAGCCGAGCAGGGCTGAGAGCACACCAGCTGCGGCACGAGATAAAGCAGTGAGGCCCACGGCTGGAGGACAGTGTGCCGCGAATACTGAAACCTCCCACCCACAGAGCTGGTGCACGCACAGCCCCCAGCTCAGCCAGCATAGGGGCTTTTATCCTTTGTTACAACCTAAGGAAGAGGAGATTGGGAGAGGGGGGAGATGACAGCTGCTTTTTTTTTTCAGGCAGCGTGGTTCCCCATGTCTGGTATCACAGAATTGCATAGTTTGGGGGTTAAGGGACCTTCAGCCAAAGCCATGTGTGAATTCTGTAAGTGGACCTTAGCTCTGCAACAGCTGCAGCACCCAACACTCTTCAAATTCAAATGTTTAAGAGCTGGCATGTCCCTGAACAAGGTGGCTGGCTCCCAGTAGGAAGGGGGACTTGACTGTCCCCTTTTCCCTGCTCCAACACATACAAAGGCAGATAATCAGTAAAGGTGAGGCCCTGTGTTATTTTTCAAAGCTTTCATTCATAAGCCTACCACTCCTGACTCTTCGGGATCTTATTATCTGGAGAACCTATTGTTTCTTCAATTTTGGTGAAAATCGGCTGCTTTGGCCAGCGTGGCCCTATGAGCCTCTCTGACATGTTCATGGTTACACAAGATAGCCACGCTGCAGCAAGGACGAGAGGACTCCTTCACCAAATCCTCGTGCTGCCAACACAACACGCTCTTTCCGCATACACAATTTCTAGACTGGTCAGGGAAGTGATACAGACACACAGCAACTTTTAATGAGGGGACAGTGACTACAAGAGGGGGAAGGGGTTTTAATTCTAATCGGAAACATGTAAGTTGCAAAAAGCTGTTCTTGGTTAGGAAACACCGATTTTACTGAAGTCCTATTAAAATTGTGTTGCCCAATTCCCAGTAGATGAGAAACAAGCAAGCAAAAAGTTCAGCCTGACAAGCTTGAACTAGAAACAGGCAGGAACATGTCAAGAAAAAACAACCCCCAAATCCACAGCATTACCTTTTAAATCACTTTATTTGTATGTGTATTTCTACAAACTTTTTAGCTACTGGACATTTCATAAACCGTAAAAACAAAACCAGCCCTCCTACCCCCCAAAACACAATCTATCCAGCTTGTCAGTCAGACAACAGCAGCGCTGCTTAGGTAGGTGGTGTCCCTAGATAACTTCCCACTGGACGTGAGCCAGCAAGGAGCTCAGTGCGTCAGGCCCTGAGCGTCTGAACCGCAGAGAGGACACAAGTCTAAAGACGTGGTTGCTCTCCTCCGCCGGGGATGTGATGGGGGGAGAGAAGGGGGGGGGGGGGGGTTAAGCAAATATTTTCCTTGATGGAAAATCAGAGCCTGACAGAGATGTTGTGACATCCATTTGCAGGTTCCGATCCAGTGACCTCTGCAGGCTTCAGACCAGCCTCACCAGCTGTTACTGTGCTAGACCCTGAAGCCAATCAAAACGCTCACTCATTACAGTATGGCCCAAGCGCTCCTTAATGCCTCGTTTGCAGGGCACATACGTGAGCCACAGGTGTTGCTTAAAATTGGCTTGCTCACCTGCCCCAGCACAGACCGGCGGGTGCCGATTCCTCGGGGCGGACGGAGCCCAGCTGTAAGGCACAACGGGGAGGAGAGGCAGGGTGTCAGGGGCGGGAGGGGAGGCCCAATCCAGCCAGGTGACCCAGCTCTCGTTGCCAAGTATCCTGTTGTCCCAACGGAAAGCACCATGTTGAACAAGTGATGCGGAGCAGCGTGTGGTCTCTTAGTTTCCCAGGTTCATGTCTGCACCGTGGATGAGCCAAACCAGGCGGAAACAGCCAGCCAGGAACCCCGTGCCCAAGAGATCCCCTAGGGCAGTGAGGTAGGGGATGGAGAAATTATCTGGATCCAATCCCTTCCTCCACATCAGGCGCACGATGAAGTCAGCCACGTAGAGCAGGATTCCCACCTGAAGAGAGGCAAGACAGACCCTGCTGAGAGGCAGCAAGGAGAAGGGACAGACAGACTTCCTCAGCTCACAACCCAAATCCTCACATGGCCACAGCCAGGTACTAGAGCTAACGGGGACCTCCAAGAGGTAACAACTTCCCCTGAAAATTGCTGTTTCTCTCTGGGATGGAGCTGAGTTGGACCTGGTATAGCTGGCTCCCAGCACCCGCAGCCACAAAACCCGGCCCAGCATCGTCCACAGTGCTGTAGCCCCTTGCTGCCAGTCACACAACAGCGTCCCCGGCACGGGGACTGCACCTAAACTGCTCGCAAGCAACACGTGGCCCAAAAACAGGAGTCTGGCGACACCGATAGCGTCTCCTGTGCTGGGAAGGGATGGTTCCCACTTGCCCTGCCATGAACAGGAGTGCTCCCATTCACCCCATCCCAAACAGGACTGCCACAAATATGCTATGCAGGCAGTCCCAAAGGATAAGTTTGTAGCCAGACTTTTTTTTTCTTTTCCTTTTTACATTAGATAGAAATTCAGATCTCGTCTACTTTGTTCTTCCTAAAAGTCTCAGTGGACCACTGCAGTTTGAGGCAGTCTTTATACCAAAGTTATCCCAAGCAGCATTGACACGTTAAAAAGAGTAACCTTTTTTTTTTTCCCCCTCATCTCAACAGTTTTTAAACCTTTGTTGTGATTTCTTTTAATTCCTATTTCACTCCTGATCCTGATAAACAGATGGAGGAAAAAAATACTTCTGCTCAAGATTAAAGACTCTCCAGTTAATTGAATTACGAAGGGAGAAAGAGTTTGCACTCCACATCTGTAGTCCCTCCATGGGAAACCACAGCACAACAGGAACCAGATGGAGTCGGCATTTATAAAGGTGAAAACAGCAACCTGGAGGGGGTGGAGGGAAGAGGATAGACGAGGGAAGCAAATTAAATAACAGAATCACAGAAACTACAGTGAGATGGAAACTCAATAGGATATATATAGGCCATCCCTCTGCTTCACTGCAGGATCAAATATGTCCAAATCTTCCCTGAAAGTGGTTTGCTTAACCTATGCTATACAACCCTCAAAGATGGAAAAGCCACACTCCAGGCAATTAGTTCTGTGGTTTAATTTTTCTTTTGCCTCTTTTGTTTTTCCCAAGGTCTTTAAACCACCTTTTTTCATCTGAAACCCACGGTTTCTTATTTCATCCCTAGTGACCACAGAGAAAATGTTATTCCATCCCTCTCTACAGAAACTTAGTAGTTTAAATTAAAGACTGTTATGAGACTTTCCTCAAGCCTTTTTCTTTAGGCTAGCTAACCCCAGTCCATTCAGTCGTTCCTCCGAGGTCATGTTTTATAGGCTTCTGATCAGTCTCTTGGGGTTCCCTCCAGCTGACCCAAACTACTGCCTCCCATTCTTTCTAGCTTTCTTTATAAATCTTAACGGTGGGGGAAAAAGAGTCAGGCTGAGCATATCCTTCTCTGCTGGCCTCCACAGGAATCTTTCAGGGTCAATGACGTTGCTGGGATTCTGCTATTTACCCTGCCATTTACTCTGTGTATTTTCATGCTTGGCTCTGGTTGAGGAGTTACCTCGATGCATAAAGAGAAGAATAAATATTTTCCTTTACAACTACGACTGTGGATGCTGGGTATAGGGTTGTACAAAGGTCAAGAAAAACTGATTGTTTACACATGCAAGGAATTCACCCACGGACACAAGGCCGCTCGTAAGGCAAAGTGAGAAGCCAGCTACCTCATCCTGCAAACTAATGAATCACTGATTTAAAAGGGCAAGTGAAGTCACAGCCTCTGTGAGTTTAAGTGACAGCTGCATGCATTTGTGAGCAAGACAATGAAGTCTATAAGGCAGGCAGAACAGCACAAGGGACAGAAGTCACAGGCAGAACAAATTGCGTGAACTGCCAATAGGCTACCCAGAACTTTTATTTTCAAAGATGAACTTCCTAGGCCTGGGTTTTCCCTTTGCTTTTGATCTGAATGGTCCTGTCCACAGGCGTCCCCAGGTCTTCAGCATGGTGTGGGAAATTGGTTTCCAAAACGAGCAGGGAAACCTGCTGGCTGGGGTTCACATCCTCTCAAATGCCCTTTACTGGGATGACCAGAGACCGCCTAGAAATGTGCAGGACAACAGAGTCAATATGGTAAAAAAGGGTATCATCTACAGCAAGAGGTACCTTCTTGCCAAGTGCATGTCTGCTGACTGCTACCGCAGCTTAGCAGATAATTGTAACTTTTTCCTCACTGTGTTTCTGATCCCTCACTCACCCATAAAGACAGCCAGGCTCATGTGGGGAACCTGGCAATTTGGGTGAAGTATTACTGAAGATAAAAGATGCTTGGTAGGAAGCACACCTGAATGACTGGAAATGGGGGCCGTTGCTGGGACTTTTACTGTGACTCTTCGTTAGCCTGGAGACTGTTTTGTTTTCATGGTATCTGAGAGATTCCTTTTGGATAAGAGGTTGGGGTTTACCTGCAGCAAAGCAGCAGTCAGATAAAATATCACAAAGGTGAAGGACAGAGACGTGTGGCCTCCCTGTAGCAGATGGATGGTGTAGAGGAACACGAGGTGCCCTGGGATAACCAGGAGGAACAGGACTCGGGCTGACTTGGAATTCACCTCTGCAGGGGATACAGACAGGAACATCAATCACAGTGGTGGCAGACAGCGTGGGCTGTCCACCACCACTCAGAAGGGAGTGGAATGGTTAGCAACCCATTTCTGAAGGATGCCCAAGACCCTTAGTGCCAGCTAAACAAACTGAAGAGCCTTGTTTTGTTTTTGTAAACCACTCCCACTGACCACATTGCTAATGTCTTTGCTAGATTATGTAGCAATTCAAAGCATCTGTAGTACTGGCCCAGCAGCTTTGTCTGGCACAAAAACTGTGCGTCACAGACAAGCTCCATGCTGATCCCCTCACTCCACTACTTCCACATACTCCTCTCAGCTGCTCTGAGCCTCCCACTGCTTCTCCTGGGTCTTGCTGCAAGCTGCTCTCCCAGTTTTCAGTGCGCTCTAGCAGTAATCCCCAACCTTGCAGGGAAAATCAAGGGGAAACTGCAATCAGACAGCACCGCCAAATCCAGTTTTGCTGATGCTTAGGCTAATCCATTGCTGAGGACGGAGTGATTGCTGAGTGTCAGCAAGGCTGTGCTTTATCCATCCCCCCTGCTGCAGATGACGGCTCTAGGGTAGCCATGGTTAAAGTGACTTTCTATCAGATCAAATTTGAGATTCCACTTTCAATGACTTTCTTCAGTGCTCACTGAAGACCAGTTCCCCTGCATGTCAGTGAGCAGGTACAGCACAAGCTTTTTCTCAAGCTGCCCACTGCAAAGATGCTTGCTTGCTGATCTGACGATTTTCCCTGAAAGGGGGAAAGGGAGTTCCGCTTTTGAAACCCATCTAATTCTTGGCACCCCAGGCTTAATAAAGGAGCCATCTACGATGATGAGCCTTGAGACATGGAAAGCTAGGGTCAAGGTCTACCTGACGAGAAGAACGTGGTACATGGGTTCGGCCAATTCTGCCTCATTTTGTACGGCAAAACTCCAGGCATGCTCCAGAAGTGCAGGAATGTGGAAATACGGCTGGCCTGGATGGCTACCAGATTCCCTCCAACACCTATGAGGACAAAACACAGCAAACCTGTAAGCTGCCTTCATTGGGGCAAGAAAATCAGTGTAAAACCTAGCCCAGGGCAGGTCAATCTGCATTCACTTAACAAGCTTACTGGGAGCACAGCGAGAGAAAGAGAACCTGATCTCACAGTATCGTGGTGACACTTCACTATTCGCTTAGCAAGGACAGCTCATAAAAACCAGGAAAGCTCCAGTGACTGCCTCCTTTTGACCGCTTTATTGGAAACATTTTCCGCTCCTTCCCAGCCCCAGCTAAAAATGCCTCATGGCCTCCAAAGAGGACGTAATTGCACCTGGCTCAAAGCAGCCTGTGAGGAAAACACCTGGGGAAAACAGCAGAGGCAATGGCAGCCGATGCTCTCACTGCCGCTTCTCAGATTTACTCGGCCAGAGAGCCGTTATTGTTTAAAAGACAACAAACATCATGGAGAGTGATTATCTGTCTGTCTGAAGGCATCTGACACACTTGTTAAGTGAGAAGGAATCATATGAGAATGAATCAGAGCCCACATATATTGGGTAATTAACAGGCAATTAATTCCTTCCAGACTGATTAATTCTAGCAAACATGAAAGAGTAGCTATGTTTTCTAGCAGAAAATAGAGCGCTGATGATCTACAGAGCAAACCTCCATCACCCAGAGCGTGCAGCCTAGAAATGCCACAGAAAAGATAACAGTGATCCAGAGCCTAGAGTCTTTTCATATTTTCCCTCCCTTGCGGAGGGAAATGCTCCGTCATTAAAAGTGAGAATTGCCAGAGTGGAATCAAAGTGAAGATACCGAGACAGAGCAGTACAGCTTAACATGGGAGTTTTAAAGCAGGTCTCTGAAATGCTTTGCAGGACTCCCATGCACGCGCAAAGTGAAGAGCTGCCTGTGCAAGGACGCAGAGCACTGCGTAACTCTGACACCAGCTCTGCGAAACAGCTTGTCCCGTAGAATGACGTCTGGGTCAGTCATTGTTCAGCTAAATCGCTCTTGACGTACTTTCCCAATCAGGCTCTTTGGCTAACTGTGTGCTGGAAAGTTTGTCAGCAAGGTGGCTGTCTTTATGCAGATCCAGTAAGGTGACAGCTGGATGACACCCGCTGACACTGCAAGACGACCCCACGCTTTGAGGGTGGCAAGAGGCCAAGCCTTCCCTAGGAATGTGGGTTTCCCCTGGAGTGTGCCTAGCCTGCAAGAAACATTACAATAGCAGAAAAACAATCCAGTGGATCCTCCGCAATGCCCGAATCACCAGCAGTTTACACTGGTGTATGTATAACAAAATACTATGAGTCTTTATACAAATATAAGCACATACACAAAAGACATATATATATATGTGTGTATATATATATATACACACACACACACATATACACACACACACACATAAAATCGTCATATATTAATTCTTATTACAATCTTTATGTATTAATCAACAATCTGAATAGAGGGTGATTGAAGAGCTGAAATAGCTGAGGAGAGAGTGACAGGGAAAATGGATTTATTGTGACATCCTTAGCAGGTTTGATGTCATGAAAGTGAAGGTGTCAGCACAACTATCAGAGATAACCATCAGACGCTGTTAACCTTTCCCACAGCTCTGCCAGTATTTTTCAATCCTGCCTGTTATTTCACTCCTGCGACACTCCCAGATATGAACAAACAGGGACATAATGGGGATCAGCAACTTCATTTCCACTGGTGATGGGAGCTGGGACTTCAACCCAGACCTCTGTGTAGGGGTAAAAGTGGATAGCATAACCCTATGGGGAACAAATAAAAAAACAAAAGCATGCATATAACCCCCCTCCAGCCTACCATTAATCACAGGTGTGAAAACTGCCATGCCTTCAAAGTTTGGGTCAGTTACAGTTTTGTCCAGGATCAGCCCACCGATGCTGTTAAAAAATGACAGGCAATGAAGGTGGATCACTCCCTCTTCCCTAGGGCACCTTCTACTCTGTGAAAACAGCCCACTGTGATGGACTACTGCTTCTTCCCTGTTGCCAATGCTGGACTGCTTCCTACAGTAGACACTGACTCCTTTTACAGCTCAGTTATAACTTTTAGATAGCCTCATGGTTTTTGTTAACGGCATAACGAGATCAGGAAGATCCCTTTTCCCACCCTTGAGCAAAAATGCTATTAGTCACAGAAGCTTTATCAGCCTCCCCAAAAGTTTCTCTAAACCTCTGAACAGGATTTACCAGCAGAACTCAACATCACGTTTTTATGAATGACCATATTTATCACAGCTGAACGGGAGTTTGGTTTGTTTTTTTTTTAAATACCTTCCCTCAAATCTCAGCTGAGTCTGAAAGATGTAGCATGGGGAAAGGAACTACCTGGCTCTCACTCACAGTCTTCATTTACAACTGCATAAAATTTGGCTAACGTCCAACCATGTGTCTGAGATGGTCATCTTACCCCTTTTTGGTTTTCTGCCTTGCATTCACAAGGTGCATGAATGTCTAAGATTTAAAATGACAGCTTTTTTTTTTTTCCCAGTCGTTTTAGGGATCCCTGTGTGAGATCTCACAGCCTGTTGGTGGTCCACCAAAGGTTGAGAAGCACTGGACAAAATACCCTTCTGCTGTCCCTCCCGTTTTACCACCTATGGCTCTCTAAATGAACCCATGTCTACGTGCACTGAGCATGTGTCTGTGGACGTGGTGGAGCAGTCCCCTCTTGGTTTACCTGCTGATGCTCATTGCAACAATGACCGGCTGCCATCCAGATTTCAGGACTTCAGCAAGGGAAGGACTTTGCTTGGCAATAGCAACCCAGAGAGGGATCAGGACAATGAAGACAGCACAGATCAGCGGAGAAAGGTATTTCAGATCTGGCAAGGAAAAGAAATCTTGAATTAACTGCCTCTGGCTCCACACTTTGCCCATTTCTGGCTTTGGCTCAGACTGAGCTTTATTAAAAAAAGAATCGCATGAACCCAGATATTTCCCACACCACCACCTCACTCCACTACAGAAACCTGTAGTTAATCTGTGAAACTCACTGCTAGAGGATGTTACTTGAAAATCAGTAGGATTCAAAGCAAGTCACATCTGAAGATGAGTAAGTCTCCAACTCCATCTCTAGCTAAGCAGGACAAAAAGTTATAAACTTTCTAGCTTCAGGGTACAAACAAAACAGCAGGGCAAAGGGGAAACCCTCCTGTGTGCAATCTAAACCACACTTAAGACAGGGACACCCCACATCTTCACCTAAAGCAACTGGTTATAGGCACTTTTGATGATAAGCTAGCAGAGTCGGTGAACAGCTAGTCTGCTCCTACAAGGACAAATGTTCTCTTGCATGCATAAGCCAGTTAAGATCCAAAGTTTCTTTTGTGCTAGCTTACATGTGTTTCCATTAGGTGCTTTTTCCATTCGGAAGGGGCATAACCTTGAAACGACCTTTAGAGGCAAAGGACTTTAATAAATAGATGTACAGCACTAAAAGAAAATAAACCTGACTCAGAACAACAAGAAACACCTTCAAGCAATGGGGTGGATGCCAACCCTTTTGATATAAAACTGCTTCTTCAACAAAGCTCCCCATCTGGTCTCTGTGTTGGGGCCAAAGCCAGCGGGTTGTAACACAGACTTTGCAGGTAATCTGGAAGATGAAGCAGGCTCAAAGTGTGCATTTCTCAAAATGACATTACCAGAGCCTCGGGCTACCTGGATGAGACTGAACTGATTTGATGGTATCTCCCCTGCGTCACAGACTCCTACACAAAGAGGCATATTCTTTACATGTGGCTTTAGTTGGCACTGAAATGCAACCACTTCTGGGATGTAAACGGTCACTGTTTTATCAGTGCACTGTAACACCCGGAGTCGTTTAGGACAGAGAGGTTGTATGACAGAGTTAGCTGCTGAACGGGATCTCCTCCTTCCCCCTCCTCCCACTCCAAGCTCTTGTTTCAGGCAATTAATTCCTTCTTCAGTGATGCAGACACACAGCACTGGTGTCCATCAATGCTTACCAAAACCCATAAAAAAGAATCCTGTTAGGATGAACGGACTTTAGTCTCTGCATGCCAGTTCTGCCACGTTCTCTCCTGAGTAGCCCCTAAGCAAGCTGGAAACGCTACAGCATAGTTCATCTCTCCACTATGCAGGATGGGAAGGACCAGGGTTAATACCTAAAACATTAAAAATCTCTCCTGGCAAAAGGGCATTTATACATAAGGAGAGAGTGCTACACTGGATGATACATGGTACCCTAAACTTTACATCCCACTAGTATTCTCAAAGGATACATCTTGGCAGGACACAGAGGTTAACATTTCAACGTCCAAGAGCCTCTCCTGCCCCTCACACGGAAATACAGACAGCTCTGGGGCTCCAGGGACTGAGAATTCACCCATGATGTGGGTGATGCCATGTTACCATTAATCACAGCATGACCCATTCCCTGCTGCACACTGGGGAGGGAAACGGGTTTTATCTGAACCACCACTGATGGTGCCGCCTTCTCACCTGCTTCATTTCACACTCCCAGTGGCTAGGTGTCTGTGAGGTGGGCATTTTCCATCCCAAGGGGCCAAAGCTATTTAAACAACTCTGAAAACATCACAGATGTGTCTCTGGCCGTAAGGAGATTATCATGTTGTTCTGCCATGTACTCCCTGAGAGATATTATCAGAGGCAGACCTATCGAAAGACAAACTAACTTTACAGAGGCAGCTGCGATGGTGTCATGGAAAAAGCCTATTGGAAAAAATACACCTCTGAAGCTCGAGGAGAACGAAGCAACGCCTTGGCCTCTCCTTGCAGCGTGCATTCCCTTGCTCCCTCACTTGCTGGCGTATGGAACTAGTTATGCAAACTGGGAACAGCTGCCTCGCTGATTCTGCTCTCAGTCTGGAGCAACAGTTTGGGTTTCAAATGGTATCAAGCTTGCTGGATCTTTTTATTTTCCTGTTTCTGTTCTAAGTTAGGCTCATGGTAAATAGCCCGGCACTTTACAAACAACAGTTAAGCATAAATCACCAACTTACAACACATTTTGAGCTTTCCAGAGTCAACAGGTGCCAAAGTATTTGTCAACCAGCAGCATGCCTAACACCCCATCGCCACAACTCCTCCTTAGAGTCCTGAACCTCACTTCAAGATGATAACATCCTCTTGTTCACCCACAATATTCCACAGGAGAAGGTAAGAGAACACTGTGCAGATGCCAAAACGCGAAGATAGCCTTGTGTTCTTCACAAACGGCCCATTATTACCCACAGACAGAAAACAGTGTTGCTGGGTTAACGACAGAGGCAGGAAGAGAGTCCCAGTGTCACATATGCCAATTTTCTGTTCCAAAGCAATGCACAATCTACTCTAGCCATTTCTTTGACAAATCCCAGTTACGTTTCTTAGGCTCTGCCTTCCAGTTTGCTACTAAAAGAGAATCAGGAAAAAGCCTTGGTGGTTACTTTCCCATCTCAGTGGGATGACAGCCTGCATTGTGGAACATCCCAGAAATGGGTAAGTGCCCTGCTGTTATTTCATAAGGATTCGTCCCTTGTTTGCTGAGCTATAAATCTCCGCCACACTCTGTACCTATGTATTTGAAGAGTGTACTGCTGATTCCTGCCAGCAGGGAGAGGGTTATCAAGTCTCCAAGGCTTGCCGCTATGGGTGTGGCAACGTTGTCTGGATTGATCCCAACCTTCCTTGCACCGATGATCACGCCAATCATCACCAGACCTAGGGAAGACACAAACCAGGCATCAGAGAATGCATCCTGCTGCGTTTTGCCCTGGAGCTGCTGTTCAGGTTCCCAGAGGGCCAAGGGATCTGGGAAAAGCAACGACCAGATTGTCCCTAGCAGCTACTGTGCAACGGGAGATTGGACATCCCCAGGAACTTATCCTCTTGCTTTCACCAACCTGAAGGGCATGACTCTGCCCTTATGAACTTCACCAAAGGCGCACAGGCAGACAAGCAAACTCCAGGGATCAGAGGAGATACCAGCAGGCAGCCCAAATGTAGACGCTCCCTTTCCTGAGCAGCCTAATCTTTGCTGGGTTGAAGCAGGATCAGGCATGAAGCACATTCATAGATAAGCACACAGCAGGCATGAACTAGTGTCCTGGTGCCATCCCCTGCTCCGGATTTCAAAGCACAAAGATATTTTCCACATTAAACTAGAATTTTATGTGAATTTGAACAACCAAGTGGCAAAGCGCTTCCCTGCAGTAAGAAAAAGCTGAATTAGCTGTTCAGCCCAGCTATCAGAGTAACTCCCTGAGGCCCAAAGTCCTTGGGGCTGCTTTAATCTTCACTGGGTGGGGGTTCGTGTAGTGAGCACCTCCAGAATCAAGGGGTTGGGGAAGTGGCTAACATCACCTCTCTTCCGTTGGACTCTGAGTCGGTGCCTGGTAAAATTCAGCTGCTTTTCAGGATTACAGAAGAGGAAGAAAGTTTTGCTTCTCCAGGTAAGTTAATGAGCACAAACCTCAAACCCTGAGGAACATGTAGCCATTAGATCTGTCACAGGACTGTGGAAAAGCCACCCGGAATAAACCCTGCCTGGCCAACCTCCATTGCTGTAAGACTGGCAAGGGCAGCCTTGGTACGAGACACTGGAAATCTCTTCAAAATCCTCGCATGGCTGACAGGGTGCACCAAAGGAAACCTAAGAACTGGTTCTCTCCAGCTCGCAACCTCTGTGTTCATACAGGCCCACCAAAGTTAAGCGCACACAGGAGCAGAGGTTCTCTCCCTCTAAGAAATACGATGAGTGCACTTTCCCAGATAAAACATCCCGTACACAAACACATCCTCACACAACCCTGCATTCTCCACAAAAGCCCTTCAAGACACCCACGCTCCCTCTCCTCCCACAGCATAGCTCACACTGTCTCCCTCCCTGGTCATAAAATACCAGTTTCCCTCGGTCCGTACCCACACATAGGCTGCCTGTGACCATATCCAGGGAAGAACCGTATGCTAGCTGCAAGCCTACTACGGTACGGCAGCACAGCCTCCCTGAATCACACCAAGTGGGAGACTGAAGGAAAGAGTTTAATGAAAGTTGGGCTGCTGTTTTTCTCTTTTAACAGCAGCCTTATCCCATGTTTTTCATCAAAGGCATCTACAGTCACCCTTTGACTCCAGCCTCAGGATATGCACTTGCTCTAGCTTGTCCCTTTCACACAGAAAACTGGATCTATCAAAGTCTGACAGCTCCCTCTATTCAGGGTATCATGCTGCCCTCTCATGGCAGACCTACAAACTGATCGTCTTCAGCTGGTACAGAGATGCTCCTATCCATCCACCCCCTGGGTTTTCCTTGCAGGGATAGCCAGGGAAGTGGACTGCCTGGGCTCAGATCTCAAAGCAGGTGAGCTTCAGAGCCAGCCTCAATTCCTCTGCAGAGCACTGTGTGACACAAATCCATCTTGAGCATGGTTCAGTGTTGTCTGCTAACAAGCAAAGACTCTCAACACCCTGCTTTAGGCATGGCATTAGTTCGTCCTCCTCTAGAAAAGGGTCAGTGTTGATGGCTAATGTGTCATCCAAGCTGAATGGAGAAAGCATGTGCATGTGTGAGTACATCCACCCATGGAGCGTTTTTTACGTGTGTCAGGTAACATACGACATTTTGATAGCTGCTGTGGATGCACAGAGCCCAGCACACAATAAATCCTCAGATGAGGAGCAAATATAGTGTTCAGAGAGAGTAAAAGCTGAAGATACTGGACTAACGTTCCCTGCATCCCTCCTTCCTTCCTCCCTGTGCCAGACCAAAGGGACGTCAGGTGAGCCTCCTTAGGTGTGCAAAAACCTCTCCCTTCTGCTGAGTGCCACGTGTTTGACGTGTTTGAATCAAAACGACTCACCAAGAGAAAGTGCAGCTATGAAGGCAGTGGTCACGCTGCTGGCACACAGCACGGCAGCCTGGCTTAGCTCCACAGAGCCCTTAGAGATGGCTCCCAGGATCACAGCAGCTACAGCAGCCAGAAGTCCCACCACCGTGGCCTGGACCTGGGGACCAAAAGACAGCTGGTGAGCAATCACCCGCATCTGCTCACAGACAGCCCTGGCTCTGTGTGACTGCAGCATTTCTGCAGGGTAAACCCTTTCAGAGATGCTGATTTAATATGTATTTAAGCAGTACTGCTGTAAAGCTCCATTGGATTCAAAAAAAGAAAAAAAAACCTCTGATAAAAGTTTGGAGAAAAGCTCTGGAGGTCTGCAGAGGGCAGATAACATTTCAGCAGAGGACACTGCGTCCATCAGCAGAACAATACCCCTGGTCAATACAAAAACGGGATACCCATGAACACAGCACCCTTAGCAAGCTGAAAGCTGTGGAAGGAGATAAGGGAAAGCATACAGACGCATGTTGCAAGCCCTGTGGCCTTGTCATGTGCAACCTCCAGGCTAGTCGCTGGATTTTAACACGCAGAAAGAGCTACAAAAATCACATTTCTCCCATCTCTCCCCTCCCATCCAAGGCTGATTCCCCAACATTGCCAGTTAATGATAGGCTTTATCTAGGGGCTGTTGTGAAATATGGAGCGTGCCACAGCTCCCCCTGCAAGGGAGGGTGTTTCTGTTATTTCACTTTGTCTGCAAAGGCAATGAATGTCTAGATACGTTTTACAGCTAAGCTGCAAGCTCCAGGGCCACATGGAGCTTCACTGGTCAAGTCCTGTGCTCTGCTTGGCTCCACTGAGAATACCTGCCCAAATCCACAGCTCTGGGTCCAGCACTGCTGGGAACAGATGCTCTCAGGCTGCAGCATAACAAGAGAAAAGGGCCTTCTTCCTCTCCCAGCTGAAGCAACTCACCTGGATCAGGGCTAAATTGCAGGTGGCCAATTTCCACTGCTTTTGGGCATCATCCATCTGTCCAGTGTTAGCCTAGGAGTCAAGAGAGACACCCCGAAAACTTAGCCTCTGGCACAGGCTGCTGCTGAAGGCAGCAAGGCAGTTTCATCTGGTCTCTACAGGAAAGGGATGACTAAAGCCAAGGATAGGGGAGTGCAGGTCAGTATCTTCCTGTCCTCCCTTTCTTGAGAGGGATCCATCGTGCTCCAGCCCAGCGTCCCAGGGGGCTCAAAGGCTCATGTGGAGGTGCAGACACCCTGCAGAGTGAACAGCCAAAGGCAGAGTGTGCAGCCCCTCGCCGGGGGTGCCCAGCTCATCCAAACAGCCTCAGGTGGGCTCAGGAAGAACAACAGGTAAGGATGAATGCCCAACAGTTGCCATTTGGGCATTGCCTCAGCAACGCGGCGCTGTGCTGACAGGATGGGCAGGCTCCCACAGGCCAGGGCCTTCCTCGGGAAAGGCGCTTTGTTTCACCACATTCTCCCAGATACGGAGGCTGTGAGGGGGCTGAGGCTGTGGTTCCAAGAGCACAAACAGCAGATCAGCACGGCAGGGCTAATGCGATCCGGCTCAGGGCTAAGTACGTACCCCATGTCCCATGCAGCCCAAAAGCTGGACAAACCAAACCACTTTTCCTTGTTCTGTCCCTCTAAACCGCCCTGGTAAGCTCCAATACAAACAGCCCAAAGCAAACAAAACCACTGAGGGAGACATGGGATCCCGCTGACAGATCAAATCTAGAGTGACAAAAGCTATCCTAGGTCCCAAGAAGCCTGAGGCCACTCAACCCAAGGTGGGATGGCTAGGAAGAAAAGCCCCAGGTCTCTTAAGTGTCCATAACCACACAAAAAGCAACCCAACGCTGCGGTTTACAGCTGTGGAGCCCTTGCTTTATTTCCTTCATGTGTCACAGGGCCCCAGATATCAGCAACTGGACGCACAGGGATTAATTCACCTTCAAAGAGCAGACAGAAATTCTCTGTTCCAGTTATAAAATGAGGGCGAAAGCATTATTTTAATACTCAGATACCACTTGTTTTTACTTAGCGGGAAAGGGGATGCCTCAAACACATAGTGGTTTATATAAAAGCAGTCTCTTGATGTCTCCGGCTAATCCCTCCCCCCCATGTTGGTAACACTCACAGCAGTAGAGAGTCGGGAAGCCAGCGTCATTTCAAGATTACCCTTTAGGCCAACCAGGGCAGGAACCAGGATAAAAACTTCCGTAATTGTCCGAAACACATCCCAGTGCTAGACAGAAGAAAACAATGGAAACAACTTCAGTTTGTGATGCCGTCCTGTCCAATGCTGTCTGCTGCCCACCTCGCTGCCTGCTCTACAGGTGTGCGTTATGCGCACGTGGGTCAATGCTGCCCCAGAGCTGGCAGCGTTTTGGGAGCGAAGGAAGCAATTTTCAGCTTGAGACATCCTTTCTGATCTCACACAGAGCAAAGCAGTAGCCTAATAGGGTAGGAACCTTCTTGCTGAGGGCAGGAGAAGATTTTGGCAGACCACAAATTAAAACGTACCTTTAGCATTAGTAAAGAACAACACGAAAAATAATTAGGGTTCACAAGCTAAATGAAATACAAGCAGCTCCGTCCTTTGTACTGACGACAGATAATAGTAACGCCTATTACTATGCAGACTCATAAGAGTGAATACAAAGACCTGGAAAGGATTTAACAACAAAAAGTTATTTCTGCTTTTTTTAAACTGCATCTATAACTAAGTATCTAAGGTTGGGGGTGGGAGGGAAGATTTTCTCATTGCTTCTCCATGCGCAGTTCCTAAACTTTCCTGTTAACAAGCATGCTCTCACCACAGTTGGAATAAGGATCTTGAATTCAGAAAGCCCATAAACCTGAGCTGCTGGGGCAACATTCTCATTATTATTGCTCCTCTGAAGCTGAACTATACAAAGTCCTTGAATCAGCTGCAGCACTGGAAATAATGCGAAACCTTAAGTAGCTGATGATTAACACACATATCTTGCGTAATTTATCTACCATACAGTGCCTTGGAAGATAATTCATGCATCCCCTGTGTGGAACTACTGCACATTCAAGGATGTTGGCAAAGTCGCGCTGTAGCCAGAGAGGATCCCATCAGGATGGACTGGCAGAAGCCAGCGAGAAGTTCTGAAGGCTCCAGATTTGTTCTGACATTGATTTATTGATACCTGAACAACTGAGAGGTGCACTAGCAGAGTCCTCTTTGTGTTGCTCGTATTATTGTTCAGTGCAGCCACCAGTTCAGGGCAGGTATAAGGCTCAAACTCAGCCGTGGTATGAGAGGATGCAAGTTCCCTGAACTGAACTGGGACAAAAACCAACTATTTCAATGTCTAAGAACAGAACATACAAACATAAGGGCAGCTGAAATGAGGCAGATCAAAGGTCCACCTAGCCCATCCTTATCTCCAAGAGCGGCCAAATTCTGATGTATAACAGGAAAATTTACAAATAGGACAAGTATATGGGATAATTCTCCTGAATATTTTCCAGCCTGTGACTGTCTGCCACAGGGTACTGAGCTGGAGTAGTTTCTGTGCACTCCGTAGTGCCTGAAGAACTTCTCTTTCAGCTACTCGTCCAATCTCCCCTCCAACCCACATGCCATCCTGTTGCTATAGCTTAGCTACATGTCATGCGAAGGATCACCTCCTCTTATTCATTCTGAACTTGTTGCTGGCTAGTTTCATACGATGGTCCCTAATTCTGGATCTGCTCATGGGGTCACAGAGGGGAAGAGAGGCTATGATGCACCGAGATGGACTTCCCAGCAGCAGCCTAGCTCTGCTGTCCCTCCCTGTGCTGTCCTCACCGCCCGAGCCATGTCCTCTGTTACCTGTCCTGGAGCAGCCATCCTCCCATGGCAGCAGCTAAGAAACGTCCACTGCCCTGAACAAGTCAACAGAAAGATCAAAGATCCTGGACCGCAAAACACAAGCCGCTTCAAAATCCCTTTCAATGCTAATCATATCATGGGTTTTTATCAACAAAGGATAGAGACATCTTATGTCTGCGACTTTTACTCGGGCCATGTTCCACTGCAGTGGCATGGAGGGGGAGAACGAATATTTCTTCCTGAATTCTCTGCTTTGAAATCTGATCTTCAAGCTTCACTTGATTCCCAACCTTACTGTAAAAGAGTAGGCCAAACACTGCAAGGTTTGTGCCTCTCCGGCAATGCCAGTCAGCCTGGAATCCAGATCAACCAGCCAGCCAAGGACCATTGCAGCGGAGGAGGAAGGGTCAAGCAAGGAAAGACCCTTGCCATGCTCTGGGCCCTGCACAGCGACTGCATCATCCGCACAAACAAGAAGAGAAAATGGCAGATAGCTATTGCTTTGGGCAGCCATATGTTCTGGTGTGAGAGACCCAGCTGTGAGCCTTTGATATCAACCTGTCTGGACAGATCTCTCTCCTTGATTTTTTTTTTTAAGAGTAACTTGGAAAGATCTTGTTTTCATCACTGGACAGAGGAGAAACACTACTGAAATCCTGAGAAGTTTGAAGGGACAGAAATAAACATTTTCCACCTTCATCTCCTCTTTGTAACAACGTCAGCCCTGCACATGACAGAGCCAGTGGAACTCCCACCTCAGAGCCACTGTATTTCTGAGTAGAGCCATTAAACTCACACATACACTCCAGGTACCATCTTTAAGCTTGCCCACATACCTCCCTGGCAAAGGCAGATGTAGAGTTTCCTTAGGATGTTTTGCAGTGACTGGAAACAGTGTAAAACACATTCCTCAGTCAGATCATTCCCTGCAAAAGGGTAAATCACAGACTCCTGGACGAGGAAAGCCTCTAGTCTCCGCAGCATGAGCCATCATGATCACCAGTATAAGTCTTATGATATCTGGCATCAGGCAAACAAACCAAATCTCACATTTTACTTGGACAGGAGAGTGAGTTTCCAGCTCTCGCTGCTGCAGGAGGAAAGGCAGAAAAAATAAGCAGGTCAAAGACCAAAGGCACAGTCCAGTTCTTTAAAGCCTAAAATCTCTGGATTTTTCCAGCTACTGGCTCTGTTTTCAAATCTAGACTTGTTGACATCACGGCAGCTTACCCCAATAACATCTCTCCTGAGCCAGCTGCCACTCTCAACGCACTAGCTCCCTCCTCTGGGAGTGGAACCCATTGACTGATCACTTCTATTTTAACAGAATTGAGAACTCCTTCACCAAAAAATACACTACTACTTGTGCTTCAGGCTCGACCCCATTTGTGAGAGTCTAGTGAGCAAATACACAAAGTGGACTACAATCTGCTATTTAAAGGACACAGGCAACATAGGTATACATGGTTCCTATTTTCCGCCAGTACTAGCACAGTAGCATTTGAACAGAGCCTGATTCTTAGGCTTTGGATTTGGAATCACATTGGATTTCTTCTAGACAAAGACCTGTTTACCTGCCAAGGGCATGGAACAGGTATGTACTATGTCTTTATCCTTCTCTGAAATAGCTGGCCAAAGATAACTGCTAACTACTAAAATAACATCTTGGGTAGACTGAGAACTTCTGTAATGCTGCAAGACAGGTCTGTGCCTAACAGCACAGCACGACGAGGTGGAGACGACAAACACAGCATAGCAACAGCATGTGCCATTCCAGTTAACCCTTCTTTATTTGATACTCCTCATATTCCCCTTAATTCAGCTTCTCTGCCTTCTTTGTTTCTTTCAATGCAAGAAAAACAGCAAGGTATTGTCTTTCCAAACACTCAAGTGTCCATATTTAGCTCCTGCTGCAGTACTAATGCCAGAGAATCCAATGTACTCCAGTGAGCTCAGTGTAGGATATATCCTTGGGGAACTCTGCCAGCCTCTTGATTTGTAAATCCAGCAGCATTAGATGCCCAAATTAGAGCAAATATTGCATTTCTGTTGATGCCACTAGTACAAAGGAAAGACAGACGGGATAGATTCTGGTTGCGGGTGTGATGGTATAAATCGAGCGCAACTCCCTGGAAGTTAATAGTAGCTATTCCAAACTTACACCCGCCTCAGAATCGGGCCAAGAAGCACTCAGTTTGTAGGCAATGCTAATCTTTTTATGCTGGCATGTCTCTCATCACAGTATCTAAATGCCTTCTAGACCAAAGATTACATTAGGTTGTTTGCAAAGAACTGAAAGCATAAACCTGCCTTTAAGTGAGACAAGTAGTTAATAACAACCCTGACCTAGATCTGCTTATCAGCAGTTTCTGAGGGAAAGAAACAACATCGTGCAACAGAAGAATATGCTGCAGTCTGATCTCGGCTGCTTCATGCTGGTTGCCACCAAGTGTTTAGCGGGATAGAGCAGAGGGAGCAGTCAGTTTAATGCACAGAGAGCAGTGTCAGGCAGCCCATCTGAAAACCACTATCCCACTTTGCAAGGAGCCCGTGTACTGATCTGAAGAAGATGGACAGCATCTCTCTAGTGCAGGCAGACCCTACAGCCATCCTGCTGACTGGCTGGCAGGACCATAAACATTAAAAAGAAAAAATACAAATACTCAAGGTCAGTGAAATAACCCACCCCTTTGCTACTAAGCAGCCTAATCACATGTACCTACTTGAACAACATCCATCAGGAGGCCAGCAGCTACCATGCCCAAGCCAGCCAGAAGGAATGGCACGAAAATCTGGGAGGCAATGGAGAATGAGGTCTCTGGGAGAAATCCATTGGCTGACTTGGTCAACTTACAGGTGAAACCTCTCAGCTTCTTGCCATGAAAGCACAGCTCCAATTGTAACTGAGTGACCACCATGGTCAAACACTGCTATCCCATGCTCAGCACGGAGAACGGGGAGAGATCAGGACATCACACAGATCCCTCCTAGTAAGTCACTCCAAAGTCAAAAGAAATGTTTTTCCACAAACCACAGCAATGATGATAAATTTCTTTGGCTTCTTCTCCTCCTAGAAGTGCTTCCAGAGGAATGCAAGCAAGGGTATCTTCCAAAATCAGTTCAGCTGGGTTGAGCCCAGGTGGCAGCGAACTTGACAGACGGTATTTCTCCAAGTTATATCCAGGGGGAAATTAAAAAAGAGATAAGAAGATTGTGGAGGTGTCCGTAGACGAACAGAAATGAGCCCGCACCCCATTCAGCTCCCACCACCTTGGTAAAAACCAGAAAGACCTGCTCAGGCTACGGCATTAAAAGAGTGACAGGTCATGCAAGAATCCCTCAGCGTGCTCAAACACACTAGTGTCCTTTCTCCTCAGGTTACATTTCTTGTCAGACTGCAGTTCGCCTTTGATACGATGGTTTAATATATAAGCCTGCTCTGAAACAACCCCAGTTCCCTCACTCCCACCATAAGCAACATTGAACTTTTCTCACTGACCCAAGGCCGAGGAGGTAGGGAGTTAACAACCAGGTTCCGCTTTGCTGTCCTCCAAGGTGAAGAAAGGTCAAGGAAAACATGAGTCCAAACTTTTCATAGTTGACAGTCTTAACGCACGCACCATTCCCAGGCAAGTGACACAGCTAAACCAGCTGGTAAGAGAAGATCTGCCCTCCTAGACCCTCACCCCTCCTGTCCCCTCCATGGTCTCAGCAGGATGTAACGATCGGTGTATGCCAGCTATACCTCTGAATGACTGGCTTTCAGAGGAAAAAAAATGCAGAGAACCAGCCAATAAGCTTCAAAAGCGAACAGCCTTATCTGCTGTCATCACTTCAACTTTCTGCTAGTTTGCAAAGGCCAAGATAAGAGTCATAGCTGGAGCTTATTTAAGGTAGCTCAGTAATCTCACTACACTACAGGCAAGGGAGAGAAAGGGCAAACATTTCCAGGGCGTGCTGCAAGCTCATCTCCCTTTCTGTCCTAAAGCAAAAAACATCACTTCGGCATATTCCCAGGAACATACTGCCTTTGGCTCTAGAGGTGGGGGTATCACCTCAGTGTCTCCACAGTCAAACGGCTGACAAATGCCCAAGAACCGGAGCTACATCGTGACCACGTATGACCATGAAATTTGTATCCTGCTCAGTAAAGATAGGAGAATATTCTGCAACTTAAAGTCAAGCACGTGGGGAAGGGAGCTGGGGTATTCTGTCAGGGGTCTTTTCTAATAATTTGGGCAAACTAATTGGATCAAAGGATCAAAAGGCTTTAAAAGCACAATTTAGGATGAGAGGGTATGCGACTGGGTGAGTAGATTGACAACCATGCCTTTTTCACTATTTAACCACAAGTTCAAACACAGCCATGCCTGAGTGAAGGCAAACTACTAAAAGCAAGTGTTCAGTGGTAGGCATGAAACATACAGGTTTCTCAGTCCAGCTTAAATTCAATGTTTAAATTACACTGCTTTACTAATACATTTTGTACTATCCAGCTCATTCCCTGACTTTCTCTGCTGCGAGATGTAAAGATTAATAGGCTGTGGACTCTGCCCCAGTGACAGGCTCCCCAGCTTGCAGCTAAGTGCACTGGCTGGACTGGACAGAACAAGGCATACTTTTGCCTTGTAAAACTTAAGAAGCTTTCAGCCATTCTGAATGATGCACTTCCTTTGGTCTCAATTCACACAAACCAAAGAACGAGGCCTAGTGGGCTGAGATGGCACAGAGATCCCTACGGAAGCATGACAGGTTGCAGAACAAGAGCCCTAGCTGCAGATGTGGGACTCTGTCCTTTGCAACTTTCTAGGTTGCTATTTTGGGACAGCCACAGCAGAAGCCTTCTCTCTCCCCACTGGCTTGATGTGTACGTGTGTGTCTCTTCCACCTAACAATGCTCCGTTTAGCCGAAGGCTAGAAAGGGAGATCGTTTCAGTTACTCCGACCTGAAGAAAGTCTACAATAGCTGGAAGACGGAGGTTAATAATCACACATAACCCAGCTTCCTACCAGCCAGGACCTTAGCAGCAACAGCATGAAGGCCCAGTTCTGCTTAGAAACTCACCAAGGAAATAAAGAATAAAGGTTAAGTTCTGGGCAACAGCCACAGTTTTTCAGAGGTCTGATAATGCGCATGCCCAGTCCCAAATGTCACCGTACCTGCAGACTGGATTGCTGACAGGCAAAAACATTAAAGTGAAGGAAATATCAATGAGCCTGAATGATTCAGATACCACTTAAAAACACAGCAGCAATACATCCTGTACTGAAGCTGCAACCTGCCAGGGTTTATGAATTTATCACGCTTCGGCGCTCTCTGTTTCTAAGTAAGCACCATAAAAAGCCTTCGACCGATGAATCAACGTGCAGAGAAGGTAATTGATTCGGGTGACCTGTGCATGTACACTGGGTCATTTTATTAGGCACTTAAGGAGTCTCTGATAAAGACTTCCACCACATGTACCAGAAAAGGATGTATTGCGTTTTCTGGCAAAAAGGCATACCATATTTGCTACAAAGAGATGCACCATGTCTGTGAAGAGAGAGAGCACTGCCAAGCAGCAGGGAACCAACTCAAACTAGTTGAGAAAAAAAATGCCCCTCACAGCTGCACCACTCTTTCTGGCAAAATCTGGGGAGGTCCACTGCTGCCCTTCTCTGCCCACAGATACACTATATCCCTAACCCCGCAAACTAGTCAACAAATAGCGTTGCCCCGGAGCAAATAAGGCAGAAACAGTCTCTTTGGGGGGCCCTGGCCTCGCTCTGGGGCTTCCTTCCACCGTCACAGTACAAAATCAGCACTAAAAGATGACACGTGCCAAAGAACACAATTTCAGGCGTACCTTATCATCCCTGCAGAGGACAGACAGGGATATCAGTGACGACTTTTAAAACGCAGCAGTGCTAACAACAGATAGCACTACTCTAACCTTTTAGACCCACAGGGATGCTAACGCCTTCCAGGGACCCTAGGCCCTGGTTGTCAGAGCAGTATTGCTCCTGATTCTTCTAGCTCTTTATCAGCTCAGAGCTAGGTATTTTTTCTGTTTCTTACCTTGATCCTCTGTCCCCTGCTTTAGGAAAGGACAGGGGAGAGGGTTTAGGTAGAGAGGCTGAGAGCAAGCAGACTGCGAGTGCCAGGGGCCAAAGCCACGGACCATCTCCCATTGCCCCACAGGAACGGCAGCAGCAGCAGGGGCAAAGGCAAGGGCTGGCTGGCAGAAAGGGAGGACAGCTCCTAGCAGCAGCAAGCCCATGATGAGATGCATTCGTGTGGTCTTTATTTACACCGGAAAAGTTGCTGTGCTAATAGCCAAAGGCCTGTTTTTCCTACGTGATGGCGCATGGGTTGATGTCTCAGGTTCTAGGCACCAACACGAAGGCTTTTCATGAGCTCTTTATTTGCCTGAAACAGAAACCAGACTTCTGTGGTTTCAGAGGAATATGAGGTTTATTTCACATTTTGTTCAAATTAGTGGCCCACTCCTTCCTAGAGGAAAACACTCTAAGAGAAAAATAATCTAAGAGAAAAAAACACCTCCAACACTATAAATCCATCTGCAATCTATTTCACACTTTAATATCTCAGGCTAGGAGGTAATATACATTCAATGTCAGAGATCCATAGGGATGGGCAGGTTCAAACAGCCTAAAAATAAAACTGAAAGGGGCTGCTCAAGACTTTCAGAACAATATCAAAGGAGACAAAAGATAGTTTGCAACTGGGTTCTGGATTTGCCTTGGTGTTTTCTCCTCTGAGTAGGTATTTTGCTAGGTATTGAGCGCGTGCTAAAAGTCATTTAAGGATACCCTGTCACTCTTAAGCCTTTATAGCTTTCTAGCTTAAGGAGATCAATTCAGAGCCATTAACAAAGGAACACAGCTCCAGATTTGTGAAAGCTGTCCATGCAAGCACAGTAGTTTCAGGGTCACTGTACCAGATAGCCCAGGGCAGTGTGACCCAACAGCTAGCTAGTCAAATAATAAGGGTTAACAAAAAGCCACAGAGCAGTGAGAGTAACCTGGAGCACAAAGACATAGCAATTTACAATCTGGAAAATAACTTCAGCTTTAAACTGCCTAAAATTAAGTCTTCTTCACTACTTTAAAGCTCTGTGTTGTTTCGTTATGGGAGGCAAGGTCTGGTTCTCGTTGTCACAGAATCAGATATCGCAGACTAAAAAAAGACTCAAAGATTTAAGCCGTTGCTACAAGGCCTTAGAAAAGGATAATAAGTGCAGGCTGGATGGGCCCGCCTGTTTGAGACATTAACAGTGCTGGGCAGCCTGGCTCCTTGGGCAATGAAGGAGGGGATGCAGAGCTTTTCAGGGCTATATCCAGGACCAGGAACTAAACAGCTATATTCTGCTGCAGGAAAGTGCTGCGCCACCACAGCCCTTGGGGCTGCAGCTCAGCCAACCTCCTCTGGGGACCAAGCTACGACCTCCGCGCATGGCTGTACCTTCCCACATAGATGCCTCAGCTCATTCACATGTTCTTCAGCACCATGCTGTCTTTATGCTTCCAGAGGAGATAAAAGATCAGAAAAACACCAGGTGCTCTCTCCTGAGAGCTGCATAAAATAACTTTGTAATAGATGAAGGATACGCTGGTATGAGAAACTGCTGCAAATTCACCTTTGTCATCGCCAGCGCAAATTCCCTACCTCTGAAGACAAGTCTCCCACCTTGCCCATCCCAGGTACATCAGATCCGTCCCTTTCCCTTACCTGAACATAATCCAAAACCATGCCTGCTAAGACCATGCCAAGTCCAGCTAGGAGGTATGGCAGGAGCACCTGCAGGCAAATTGCAACAGACGACTCTTCCCGCGACTTTGCCATGGCCACCTTCTCCTCAGCCAACAGCTTCTGCTGTGCAAGCAAACAGGCATCCTCTGCTTCCTGGTTGCCAAGTCGGCTGTCTCTGTGTTTACCCTTACTTTTTCCTTTGTGCCTGGATCGCTCTCCATTCCTAGTCCTGCCCTCCTTTCTCCTCTGTCGTGCTTCCTCACCCTTCATGGCGGCTTTCTTGAATCACAGAGTTGTTCTGAAAAACAAAGCCAGAAACAAAGAGGCAATAAAAGGAGGCACTAGATGGGCCAGGGACAGAAAACCCTTCAGTACTTTGCCCGTTCCATCAACTTGATGCTAAAACACCACCTACTTCCCCAACCCTAGACACAGTCCATTTGCTGACCCAAATGCTGGTGCTCAGTTTAACATCAGCTGTGTGCTGCGGCAAACTCATTTCCCTTTCCAAAGTCTCATCTCTCTTGCCAGGCCTGTAGTCACACTAGACTGCTGCCACCCAGGAAATGCCTGGAAGGATGCGGAGGGTGCTGCGCGCAGCCTGAATTCTGGACCCGCCAGCTTCTCACGCTGGAGCCATGGGAACTGAGAAGCCCAGCAGAATCCAACCCTTCAAAGGGGCCGAGCCTTGGCCACAAAATGGAATCACTCCACATCCGGCAATCCAGCAAAGGGCAGTGCAAGCCACTAGCTAGCACGGCACAGCCAGCTGTCTATCGCTCCTTGGTCCTCTAATTTGTATACTTTTTCTTCCCCTTGCGCTGTGTATGACACACGTGCATCCACTGTGTGACTCATCCATCAACAACAGAGCACCTCCCACACCATCCCATGAACATAAGCAGCCAGGCGAAACCGTCACCAGTCACCCTTTCCCTGTCCTCACACCTGGATTCCTCACACAACTGCCATCCATCCTGACTGCCCCGCTGCTAGCACAGCCAGCGCCCCAAATCCTTCCCCATCGCCTCCTGCCAGACGTGCAGCTCTGCTGCCATTTGTAGGACGGGCCCCAGACACGCTAACCCCTGCCCTACCCTAGCGACGATTAACCCTCTTCCTGGCCAACATCTGGAGAGCAGAGGAAGCAGCTGGAACGTGCCAGGCATGGCTGGGGCAGGCAGGGAAGGACAGACCAGCCCAAGGTCCCCCCCGGCCCGGCGGGAGCAGGAAACCCGTACCCCCGGCACTTACCGGCTCCCTCGCCCTGCCCTGGGCAGAGGCCGCGGGCGCAGCTG